AAATTCAAAGATTAAAATCCAATTTGAGTAAAAATAAAATAAAATTGAAAGTTAAAGACCAAATTGGAAAAAACACCAAATGAAGGGACACATTTCATTACAATCAAGGGTGAAATTGGTAAAATAAAAGTTGAGAAAATGGTTGAAATTTGATAAAAAATTAAAATAGAATGACTAAATTAGAAAAGATGCTAAACTTGAAAAATCTAAAGGAAAAAAAAATTAAAACAAAGTCATTTTAATTTAAATGATGATGTATTTTAAGCGAAACAGAACTCCAAAATGATATTGTTTTTCAAAAACAAAATGATTTTGTTTTTAACATAGTTGGGATAATCATCTTTCTTATATCACATGCAAACTTTCAATTGCATTAATGTTTTTTTATTTTTATTTTTTTATATTTTGGTCGGACTATTGAACATTTTTTTCTCTCTACCATGCCTCCAACAAATGCGAACAAACATATCCCTTACTTTATCTGTATATGTATTTATTATTAGCTTAAAACTCATTTTTCTCTCTAAAACTATTTAAGTGTAAAAGATCAACCTAAACATGTTTGGATGAAATGCACAACAATAATTGAACCAAGAAAACCAAGAGACATAATTGTTCAATCTAGAAAGGTTATATTACCTTTATCATTGTTTATAAATAGAAGGGAAAAATAAGAAAGACAAAAGAGTTGATCTAGAGAGAGAAAATGTTGAAGTAGTGAGAGAAGAAAAATAGAGTTAGAGTTAAGAAAATGAGCATGAATGTGAGAGTAAAGAAACAAGAAAAGGTAGCAAAAAGAGAGGAAACAAAAGAGAAAATTATTTCTACATACCTAAAGAAGATGCCCCATCCAATTATGCTTGGATTACTCAAATAGATCACCAAATGGAAAATGACTAAGTGAGGTAATAGTCAGGGCTAATTTTAATGTGCATTAGAATCCATATTAAAAAAGAGATTATACGATGAAGAAAGTGAAGTTCATTTAAGAATTTTGACTTTAGGTATATATGATTTGATTCTTTTATCTATACCAAAAATGATAATTGATTTTGAGGTTGTCAACGTTTAAAAGTGATGTCTCCCTTAAAGTTAACCTAGTTGCAACAATATTAGTAAAAACCTTGTCATCATTAAATAATTGTGAAAGGCTTAAAGTGTTGTTTATAGTTTTTATTTGTATGTATTCTTAGTCACGTAATAAAAATAAAGATATTTTTTCTTTTATCTTTTAGGACTATATGACACTTGTACTTAAATCTAAAAAAATTTGTAAAGAGAACTAGAAAAGAATACCTCAGAGTCCATGTTTATTGGCATGAGGAAGTCTTCTTTTCTAATGCAGAACATGTTATAGTTATTTATAGTAATACTTAGCCTATTACAGGCATTATCCATAAATTTCATCGATAGGAATGGATGTTGCATTAGCTATTTCTCTAACATAGATATGCAATGATTAGAATTTGAATAATTCATAAGATATACCTCTAAGCTAGGTGAGTTCTATGAAAACTTTCTAGAAAACTAATGGAAACAACTAAAAAGGCTTGGAAACATTATAGCATAGTTATTACTTTTAAAAGAGATAATGAGAAATAAACTCCATGGTATCTTGTATGATGGAAAGTTACAGAAAATAACTACAAGACCCACCATATAAGAGCTTTTAAATGCTAATAATTTATATTATAGAGGACATGTAGGAAGATATTATGCTACGGGTTGTATAATTTGGGTTTAAATTCTAAATTAACACGAGTTGTATAATTTGGGTTTAAATTCTAAATTAGAAGATTCAAAAGTGATAAAGTGAATATTAAAGTAACCTAACTACACAAGAACATACCTTAGTCAGAATATTATGAAGAAGAAAAAAGAGATAACTTAGACTTTATTAATTTTGCCCATGAATTTTAAATGCTTTTATTCAATAGAAAAAAAAAAGGGGGTCCAAATCTAACATAAGGAATAATTTTACCATGAGATAATAGTAAATCAATCCTCCATTTTTATACAAGCTAGTGAGGCAGGATAAAAATTATCATGATTTAAGGCTAAAATTGTTCCTTTGAGCATTACTAGGATTTCTTTTGGTGCCTTTGATGGAAACATTTGATGAACATATGTTAATTATTACTAACAAAAAATTGGAGGGATGATATAGTATAATATCTATTATATTTGACTCAAAATTGATAAAATCAAGAGTTTTAAGACTAAGTGATAATGTAGTAATATATTAGGGTTTTAAAAATAAGTCTTTTTTTTTAAAAAAATCAATATGTCCGAGAATTCATAAATTTAATGGGGCTAATCCTTAAATTCCATTTCACAATTCCTAGGATTTGAATCTCATACTTTCAAGTCTTAAATGAAGGACGGGCCCTTTGGAACTAGTGACTTTAATTTTCCTCCATTAATAAATAAAAATAATTTTCCTAATAGAAAAAAAAAGTTTTATAATTACATACTGCTGGACTTTTCCTAATAGAAAAAAAAAAAGTTTTATAATTACATACTGCTTGGGTTATATATTTTATTTTTTTTAGCTTATGGAGGGAATTAAGACAAAATCAAAGTACTCGAGAGTAAACTCAGACATCCATCAAATCATAGAAGCATATATTTTTCATAGTCTTTGTTTCGTGCGTGTTTCGAAAATGTATTCTTACGTGGCTAAACAGTAGTCAACTTAAGCAGCAGAGACCAATATGGCCCTTAACCACCGCAGGAAAAGGCCCAGAAATTAGGCGTGTTTCGAAAATGTATTCTTACGTAGCTAAACAGGAGTCAACTTAGAAGCAGCGGCCAATATGGCCCTAAACCACCGCAGGAAAAGGCCCAGAAATTAGTCGGTGGACATTGGCTTGCTCGTGTATGAAAGTGTGAGTAAATGGTCAGCCGTGAATTTGATAAATTGTCGCTGTTAGTTTGATTAAGAAATGGTTTATTTATTTATTTATTTTTGTCAACAAGAAATGGTTGCGAAACGACAGAAGCAGATATGTTGTGTATATTTTATCAATGGCTTAATTCCCTGTAATTTCTTGTGTTCATAATTGTGACTTCATTATAGTCAGATGTTTTGTTGAAGCATAACTATCAATGCACTTGTTTATGCTGCCAAGATGACAGCAATTGAAAACGATACGAAGAGATTTGTGCCACATTTGTGACGGAGAGAAAAGTAACATAAGGAATACATAATTATGCTCAAAAAAGATTTCACTTAAATTTTGGTTTGAAATTTTATTATTCAATATCTATGTTTAGGTGGTTTATTTCTTTGCGAAAGTTATAATTTTTAAATAAATCAAAATAAAAGTAGTATCAAATAAAAAAAAATAATAATGAATCAACTAAAAAAATATAGCAAATCTCAAACAGTAACTTGTAAACATTATCAAAAAACCTTTTTAATATCCGATTACGATGAAATTATAATATTATAGAAAAATAATTTTAAGAACCTTTTAAAAAAATTTCAACTCAATTTGATAACCGAGTCAAAAGTAATGTTCAATAATATAAAATTACACATTAAAAAAAAATTTATGCATTAATCTTTTTAGGTTGAAAAGAAATTCTCATCAAGTTGAAATTGTTCTCACCTTCATCTTTTAGATGTCCAATCAAAACTTTTTAATACATTTTCAAAATGAATAACAATTTTAGATACATCAACTTCATCACATTCATTTTAAGACTTGAATAAGAAATAATAATTGATAAATTATCTCTCTTGCATTGACTTCTAAAATAATAAATTGCAAACCTCATATTGTTTTATTAATATATTATGTTTATATAAAATTTGAACACATCTATGTTTATGATAACATAAACCTTTGTACTTAAAGGGATTAACATAGTTTAAATCAACAATTTTTTTTTAAGCACCTTTCATATTTTTTTTGCAGTCAACCTCTATTTTATAATATCATCATCAAACTAAAATTATAAGATGATGAAGAATACCAACCCATATTTATCTATGTATAAATAGAATTACTAAAATCTCCACAATAATCATTTTGATTAAGAAGCTCTTTTATTTGCTCATGCTTCTAAAATAGGTTTCAAAACTAGCCATAAATTAATAATAACTCTTTTCAAGATCCTTAAGGCTTCTTATGTTTGTCATCCAACAAGTTAATTTTATAATTTATCTCTACATATTTTTTATCGTCAATTCCTATACATTGTCTTTTTAATTTTATAATTTATCTATATATGTGTTTTATCATTAGCTCCTAAGATTTATCTCTTAAGGGGAATCTACTCATCTTCTCTTACTTGAACACATTTTATTGTATAATCTTTTCTAGTCATAATCATGTAGTAGCACATAAAAAATAAAATAGCATGGGATCACAATATACATCAAGCAATAACTTGGAACTATTAGGATTTTATATCAACTGACACACGCGAAAGCAATAAACCTAAAAATTAACCTAAAGAAATTAGAAAACTTGAAAATAAAGGAAAACCAATAAAGTCTTAACACAAGATTGGTTCATGATATTTAATTGCTATAAATATTAAAATTATAGAGGAAAAAAGCCTTTAAAGTTTCTTAAAAAAAGTTTAACTTAATCTAATAATTATATTAAAAATTATATTTAATAACATAAACTTACGTAATAAAAAAGAAAGTCTTTGACCATCAAATTGTTAGAAGTTACAACATGATAAATTTGAAGTCATGAGTAATGGCTAGCATCAAAGTTACATATTTCAATTTTCAAAGGTCGACTTGGCTAGAACTTCTCTTTTCTTATTTTAATTTCTCTGTACTTGTGATCCAAGATCTGATTAACTAGGAATCAAGACTCGGTAGTGTCCAATGACAGGACATTCGTTTCGTGTAGGTTCATTCTGCGCAGGTGATCAAGTTCTTGACTGTCTCTTTTCAACCAGTTTAGAATAAATGATGTGGGCCCGCCTTAAACAGGATGAAATTTCCTGTTACGATCACGAATCTTACAAGTTACCACCATACAGAGAAAAGGAGAAATTCCCCACCTTAAAAGCATGATGCGGTGCAAGCCACATTTGGTAGGAGTAACGGGATTTGCAAAGATATGGATTCCATTATTCAAGACCAGAAAGCAACTGAGTTGTTTCAAGCTCACACTCATTTGCATAGCCAAATGTTCAATTACATAAATTCTATGTCACTCATGTGCGCAGCCCAGCTAGGAATACCAGACATAATCCACGACCATGGCAGGCCAATCACTCTTCCTCACTTGGTCTCAGCACTGCACATCGCACCAAACAAAACTAGTATCATATACCGGCTTATGCGCATGTTGGTGCACTCAGGCTTCTTTGCCACCACAAGAGCTGCTAATGGTCAAGGAGAAGGGGAAGAAGAAGCTTATGTTCTAACACCACCTTCCCAGCTACTTGTCAAAGATAACACCAATTGCTTGTCACCGTTTATGTCATTGATTAACCCAGCATTTGTGACACCATGGCTTTCCCTCGGGGATTGGTTTCGAGGAAATGAGCCTACTGCATTTGAGCAAGCATATGGGATGGCATTCTGGGAGTACCATAACCAAAATCCTGAACTCAACCGTCTTTTCAATGAAGCAATGGCCTGTGATTCTCAGATGATGAACTTGGTTATTAGAGACTGTAAGCCAATTTTTGAGGGGTTGAATTCAATGGTCGATGTAGGAGGTGGTACCGGTTCACTTTCCAGGATCATATCCGAGGCATTCCCTCATATGAATTGCACAGTACTTGAGCTTCCACAAGTCATTACCAACTTGGAAGGCACCAAAAACCTTAATTATGTTGGAGGAGATATGTTTCAGCATATCCCTTCTGCAGATGCCGTCTTACTTAAGGTATACGCTGCTCTCTGCATTCAAAAATTATTCTTCCATCTAAGAAATTGATTATTGGATCCTGGTTAATTATGCTGAATCAATTTTTGGCAGTTAATTTTTCATGGTTGGAGTGACGAGGATTGCTTGAAGATATTGAAGAAATGCAAAGAAGCTATTTCGAGCAAAGGAAAGGGAGGAAAGGTGATTATAGTAGATGTGGTGATAGATGAGAAGAAAGACGAGAAGGAACTAACCGAAACAAAGCTCCTTTTCGACATGCTGATGATGGTTGTGGCTGCTGGAAAAGAGAGAAGTGTCAAAGAATGGGAAAAGCTATTCTTGGAGGCTGGCTTCAGTCACTACATGATTACACCCTTATTTGGTTTAAGGTCCCTAATTGAAGTTTATCCATAGGATGAAGAAACTATGAATTAAAAACTATATAGTTTGCTTGCTGAATAAATTTATGTATCCTACTTGACACATTGTTGTTGTGATGGCTCAAGTCCAAGTGCCAACCTTCTATGTTGATCTATTAAGTATTAATTCATATTAATTACATCGCTCAAAGTTGAACTTGAATGGCTTGTTCATGGTATTATGGTTCTGTGTGGCATAGTTTGGCTGTGCCTGATTTCATTTTGGTTATAAAACAAAACGCAATTTTTATGATAGACCCCACTAATAAATGAGTTTTGGATTCAGTTTCTGAAAAGCTATTTCTACATGTTTTTGCTACATTTCTCCTCTGCTTTTAATTAAACTCTGTTTTATTATTACTAATTTGCTATCCAAACCAAAATAACAAAAAATTAATGCTGGGTCGTTTTTGTATAAGTTAAAAATTTTCCAAGGTCCAAGTTTTTATATTTGTAAATTATAATATATATATATATATATATTTGAATTCTTACCAATTATTTATATAATTTTATCATCATCTTGATTTTATTTCTAAAAAATTTTTTAATTGATGTTATTTCATGTTCATAATTCCATAAAATTAAAGGCATTTCTATATGGATTATGTTTATAATAATATTATATGAAGTTTAATGAAACAATAAAAATAATGTTATAATTTGCATTATTGTTTTTTAAAATGTATTAACAATAAAATATGCATTAAACTGTAAAATAAAAAATTAACTCATGTATTTTTAGATTATTTTATTAGTAGCATCAATTTCAACTATTATTTCAATTAAATATCTTGAACGTGTGTTTTTATTGAACAATAATTTCAAGTATAATTTTAATCAAATACATATTTAATCAAAATAATTAAAATTAAAATTTATTTTTTTCATATTATAATTATAATTGTGAAAGCTAACGAAATACCACATACACTATCATGTATATATGTGTACTACTCTGGCATCAAATTAATGACACCACCTAAAATCCAAGAAGATGCCACAATTTTAAGATAATGTAACTTCGGAGAAAAAGGCCAGCTTTATGTCTAACTAATCCTACGACGGGAACTTCTACCATTAAAAACTTAGTTAGCTATAGATTTTTGTCTTTAGTCCTGATCTTGTTATGGCCTGAGGGAATAAACTGACCTTTTTCAATGAATTAAGTTCAAAGAGGGGATGCAACAATGTGTAGATGAACGTCTTCAACTTCATTGCGTGGTGAAATGATAAAAGTCAAGTTGTTTTTAGTTCCGTATCTGATACGTTGATTTATAAAAATTCTAATTTAAAATTTTATTACTATATTTTCTGTAATCTAGTAAAATCCAGGCTAAACAGCTTTGTTCATAATAATTCAAAAAACAAATTCTTGATAAATAATTATGGAGTTATCACAGGAATTGATAAACTAAATAGTATAAATAAAATTATGATGTTTGATTTTTAAAATTAAATAATAAAAAAACGTCATAAAAATTATTTTTTAAAACTAAATAAACAAATAATTTATTCTGAAAATCTTGCATCAAAATCACACGGAATCTGCAGGGCTATTTCGATAACAAGATTTTCACTGCACGATCCAAAACCTCATGGAGACTTCTGGGACTCAACTTGATGCCAGTCAACCTAGAGATATACTGAATTTATTTTCCACTAAACATCTGCAATAGTTTTCTACAGTGACCTGGTCTAGTACTAGTCCTTTGTTTACATTGCAGGCCGGTAGATATCACCTTCAATGCGAATTGGAACTCCACACGGCACACATCACAATCTTTGCAGTCAAGTCGTGCACCTCTAAGAAATCAACAAGATCCTGGAAAAATCCCATATTTGAATAATAAACATTCTTGATTCTTCACGCTGTCCTGTCCAGAGTTCATGTAAATAACTAGCAACACGGAAATTTGATATGACTAGGGGCTTGTTGAATGATTCATGATGCTTGCTTTCATCTTGATCAAAGCCAAGTTAATAAAGAAATACCTGTGCAGTTGAAGCCCAAATTGTGGACTTTGCACACATGTTTTTTAATAAAATTATCACATCGTGGTCTTGTTACGTCTATCACAGGTGATTCTTCTTCATAAAAATTTAATAGACATCCTTTAAATCTTTAGAATGATAAAAAGACTAGAGCAAAAGGAATAAGAAAATCCATGTTTTCAGTCTCTTTGATTTGGTCAGTTAAGAGCCATTTATTAAGCTCAGCCTTCTACCCTTTCTTCTACGTATATCCTCTTAAAACTGTTTTGTAATTTCCAAATGTCAACTTAGTTTAGCGGTCGTAATTGTTCAAGTAGTAGTTTCTGACAATGAAACTTCCTCGTTAAACTTTCATCCACGTAATGCACGGTGCAAACGTCGAGACTGCATTATAAGAACCAGCTGCATTGGGACTGTTTCGAAAGCAAATAAGGTAGAATCCTGCCACAAAAGATGGAGGTAGATCAAGGGCATGAAAATAGTGAGCTGTTTAAGGCTCAGTGTAAACTTTATAAACATATCTACTACTTCATAGAATCAATGTCACTAAAATGTGCTGTTCAGCTAGGCATACCGGATATAATCCACAAACATAACCAACCCATTACCCTTCCACAGTTGGTTTCAGCACTAGATATTCCTGTATCAAAAGCAAATTTCCTCCAGCGCCTTATGCGTATACTGGTGCATTCTGGTGTCTTTGATACAACCAAAATGCATGAGAATCAAGAAGAAGAAGAAGAAGAAGAAGGTTATGTTCTCACTTCTTCTTCTAGGCTCTTGCTCATAGATAGCCCCACCAACTTGTCCCCGGCTGTTATAGCAATGCTAGATCCTGTGTTAATGAGTCCCTGGTTTTCTCTCGGAGAGTGGATCCAAGGGAAGGACAGCACACCATTTGAAGCTTACCATGGAATGAGCTTTTGGGAATATGGGAAGAGAAACATCAAATTCATCAACAACTTGAATAAAGCAATGGCCAGTGATTCTCAATTGGTGAGCTTGGTTGTCAAAGAGCACATGGAGATTTTCGAGTCAGTGGATTCGTTGGTTGATGTAGGGGGTGGCACAGGAACTCTTGCTAGGAGCATAGCTGATGCATACCCTCATATGAAATGCACAGTCTTGGACCTCCCACAAGTTGTTGCCAACCTACCAGAAAGTGAAAACTTGAAATTTGTTGGAGGTGACATGTTCAAGTCCATCCCTTCTGCAGATGCAATTATTATCAAGGTATGCATACCAGTTTTTCTTTGTTCATTATTTGATTCTTAATTTGATCAATTAATATTAATAGCATACCAATTTGTAAACATTAATTATGGTACTAGTATAAAATCTTTCAAGGACAACATGAGAAACAATGTTCTCCTCTCTTCAGTTTTTTGAAGGTTACATTGAACTCTTTGCAGTCAGTTTTGCTTAACTGGAGTGATGAGGACTGCATAAAGATTTTGAAGCGATGCAGAGTAGCAATTCCAAGCAAAGATGAGGGAGGAAAGCTTGTACTCGTAGAAATGGTGATTAATGACAAGAAAGATGAACATGAATTGACCAAAACAAGGCTCTTTGTTGACATGGAAATGATGCTTATATGCAATGGAAGGGGAAGAAATGAGAAAGAATGGAGAAAACTTTTCCTGGAGGCTGGCTTTAGTCACTACAAGATTACAGCCACATCTGGGCTGAATTCTATTATTATGGTGTATCCCTGAGAATTTGTTTCAGATTCGGGATGTCATTTCTTTTCCTTTTTGGATGAATATGTGTTCTAGTTTGATATGATAGTCAAGGGTACAATGTAACTTTAGCTTGCTGGATTGCCATAATCCATGTGGCCTAGGGAACCTTATGTAACTGGGTTCTTACTGTGTATTACGCACTGCCGTATACAATAAGGCATGCAAGATATATAGAGCCATGCGTTGCTGTTTCTTTCTCATTTTTTGTCAGGCATCTAAATCCTGCAGCCTCTTCTTCTTTCCAATTGCACAGTTTTCCTGCATCGGTAGCATCTTAAATAATATCAATCGGAAGCCATGGCTAAACAGCTTCTTGTAATGTTTTGAGTTGACGGAGAGAATTATTTCCTCTATAATTCTTCCTGACTCAGCTAATACATGCGAAGATATGCATCTAGTTGAAGTTGAAACCATAAATGTAATGATAACTGAGAAGAAACGTGGATGAACCAATTAAAAATGATGACTATGCTTCGGTCTTACTAGCACAAGATAAATAGAAAAAACAAGAAACAATCCTTTTTCTAGCTGTAGGTTTAAGAAAAATTCATAATTATTTTTATTTTTTTATTTAGTTTAGAAAAACAAATATTATGCTTATTAATTTTAATAATTTTATTTTTTTAAGATTTTTTTATTGCTTTTTCTTTATTTTTAGGTTTTTTTATTTTATTTAGGTTAGTTTTTTTTTATTTTATTTAAGGAGTTGTAAATTTTTTAGAGAGTTAGAGTACTTGAAGAGAAAATATTTATTAATAAAATTTTGAATTTAGTTTTTAATTATGTGGGGATCCTATTCAGTATTATTATGTGCTATTTGTGTTTTGTTTATAATGTTTGGATATCAAGATGTGAAGTTCAAATGAATATTTAGTTAGATTAGTTAAATATGAAGGGTTATTTTTATAGAAATATTTAAAGGTCAAGTTTGAGGTCCCATTTGTTTTGATACAAAACCAAAATGAAAATTGTATAATTATTTATTTTTTATTTTTTCTTTTTTTGTGTGTTTTGCCAACCATGTCTTGGTTTAATTTTAATTAATTTTCAGATTTCTAGAGGACCATTTTGCAATTAATTTTATGTTTTTTATACTATTTTTACTTTTTTTATATTGAATATTTAGGGTTGTAAACCTATACTTTTCTAGGATTAAATAAATTAATTTAAAAAACAAAAATTATTTTTCCAAAAACTAAAAAAAATAGATTTATGTTTTGAATTTCATATGGATACAGTCATTTAAAAAAAATTAAATTAATTTAAATAACAAAAATTATTTTTCCAAAGACTAAAAAAAAATAGATTTATGTTTTGAATTTCATATAGATACACAAAAAAAATAAAAAAAATTCTTCATTTTCTTTAAAAAAATTGATTAATAAATTTTATAACTAGTTTGTAAATATCTATTAGAATTTGGCCT